CCCCATCTGGACAAGAGTCCAGCCCTAATGAGAAATGGAGTTTGGTGGCGAGGTGCCCCGTGTTTAAACCCTCTTCTCAATGGTTTGTCACGATCCTTCCATCCGAGTATCTCTTTCGTGGCAAAGAAAAACTCAACACTTTTCTACTGGACAAACTCTCAACGTAGACCCACGTGCGTCATCTTGAAGGTGCACGTCTTTGGAGGTGACCTCTTGGCTTGTTGTTCCTGGAGATGATGAACCTCAGGGTTGGAGGGAGAATTTTCTTTTAATTTGTGTTTAATTGGAGGATAACTACTTTACAATGTTGTGTTTCTAGGAGAACTCTTTGAGGACAGGAAGAATACCTCCTCCTTTTGGGTGGCTTTGGGCTTGCAGGTTTACTTTTTGGAAAGTGTGTTTTTGCTCCTTATCTCTGCTAAGTCTGCAAAGCACAGAAGATGCAGAGGTGAGCCTCTGCAGGGTGTGAGCTGAGCGTGCGTGGGCAGGTCATGAAGTCGCTCAGCGGAGGTGACGGTCACACACAGTCACCGTGAGGATCTGCTGAGTTTGTGCGGGGAAACGTCCGACAGCCAGACCCGACGATCACCACGGTTTGCGTGGAGGACTGTTGTCAGGGATACTGGCGTGGAAGCTACTGGACAAAAAGAGTGACTACTGCAACTAGTCCCAGTGCAATAACTAGGGCAGCTACTAGGTCTGTGCCCACAGCCGTGACATCCACCATGAGGGCGACGACTGTGGTTCAGCAGTGAGCACTGCCACAGCGACCGTGACGACTAGTGCTGTGAAATCACTACTACAACTACTAGGTCTATGACTGCGAGTGTAACATTTACCGTGACCACTACTACTGCTACTGGGACCATACCGAGCACTTACAATGACCGTGCCAACTAGTCCTAGTATCATCACGACTACAATCGCTAGCTTTCCTACTGCACCTGCAACATTTACAACTAGCACTGCTACTGGTACAACCAGTACACTGCTACAATGAGTTCAGCAATGAGCACCGCTATAATTGCTATTACAAATATTGCTACCACAACAGAAACGTTTACTGCTGCGTCAATTCCTGCTGTAACGACCACATAACTTATACCACTACCACACCTACGGTTATTATTACAAGCGCAGGCATTCCAATGACAAGAAGGACATCTACCGCAATTATTGCTACTGGAACAACTTACGCTACAGCAAACGGTGCAATGTGGCCATTCACCTCACAGACACTACTGTAGCAGACACTACTCTCACAACCACTATAGGTTTTGCCACTGCTACACCTACAGCTGAAACAATTAGAACTGCTACAACTGTTACTATCCCAAATTCCTATCACAACCACAACTACATCAATCGCTGCTGATACAAAACCTAATACTACAACCACTGCCACGACAATTGCATTTACTACTATAGTTATGACCATTCCTATCACTACTGTGATTATAAATGCTGCTAAAAATCTTACCAGTGCTACAGCTACGACAGCATTAGGACTAGTGTAATGCCTGCTACAGGGAGTAGGTTTTCCCCTGCAACTGGAGCATCTACCACTCCATTAGGACCAGTATAGTGCCTGCTACAGGGAGTAGGTTTTCCACTGCATCTCTAGCATCTACCACTCCATTAGGACTGGTGTAGTGACTGCTACAGGGAGTAGGTTTCCCACTGCAACTGTACCATCTGCCACTCCATTAGGACTGGTGTAGTGACTGCTACAGGGAGTAGGTTTCCCACTGCATCTCTAGCATCTACCACTCCATTAGGAGTAGTATAATGCCTGCTACAGGGAGTAGGTTTTCCACTGCATCTGTACCATCTGCCACTCCATTAGGACCAGTATAATGCCTGCTACAGGGAGTAGGTTTTCCACTGCAACTGTACCATCTACCACTCCATTAGGACTAGTATAGTGCCTGCTACAGGGAGTAGGTTTTCCACTGCAACTGTACCATCTGCCACTCCATTAGGACTAGTATAGTGCCTGCTACAGGGAGTAGGTTTTCCACTGCATCTGTACCATCTGCCACTCCATTAGGACTAGTATAATGCCTGCTACAGGGAGTAGGTTTTCCACTGCAACTGTACCATCTACCACTCCATTAGGACTAGTATAATGCCTGCTACAGGGAGTAGGGTTTCCACTGCAACTGTACCATCTACCACTCCATTAGGACCAGTATAATGCCTGCTACAGGGAGTAGGTTTTCCACTGCAACTGTACCATCTACCACTCCATTAGGACTAGTATAATGCCTGCTACAGGGAGTAGGTTTTCCACTGCAACTGTACCATCTACCACTCCATTAGGACTAGTATAATGCCTGCTACAGGGAGTAGGGTTTCCACTGCAACTGTACCATCTACCACTCCATTAGGACCAGTATAATGCCTGCTACAGGGAGTAGGTTTTCCACTGCAACTGTACCATCTACCACTCCATTAGGACCAGTATAATGCCTGCTACAGGGAGTAGGGTTTCCACTGCAACTGTACCATCTACCACTCCATTAGGACTAGTATAATGCCTGCTACAGGGAGTAGGTTTTCCACTGCAACTGTACCATCTGCCACTCCATTAGGACCAGTATAATGCCTGCTACAGGGAGTAGGTTTCCCACTGCAACTGTACCATCTACCACTCCATTAGGACTAGTGTAGTGACTGCTACAGGGAGTAGGTTTCCCACTGCATCTCTAGCATCTACCACTCCATTAGGAGTAGTATAATGCCTGCTACAGGGAGTAGGTTTTCCACTGCATCTGTACCATCTGCCACTCCATTAGGACCAGTATAATGCCTGCTACAGGGAGTAGGGTTTCCACTGCATCTGTACCATCTGCCACTCCATTAGGACCAGTATAATGCCTGCTACAGGGAGTAGGGTTTCTCCTGCAACTGTACCATCTCCCTCTCCATTAGGACTAGTATAGTGCCTGCTACAGGGAGTAGGTTTTCTCCTGCAACTGTACCATCTCCCTCTCCATTAGGACTAGTATAGTGCCTGCTACAGGGAGTAGGTTTTCCACTGCATCTGTAGCATCTACCACTATGACAACTACTCCCGACATTGCTGCCGCTACAATTGTGAGCACTGCTACAGTGAGTGAAGCCATTAGCACAAGTGCAGTTACTGCCCCAGCCATTATGTTTGCTGCTACCACTGTGACATGCACTGCTATAACTACTGCTGCTGTTTCCACAAGCGTTGATCGCTGCTGCTACAATAGCCATAGCAATTAGGACTACCGCAACACTTACTGTCCTTATTACAACTACAGCAACTCTGATGACCAACCACAAGGATGACCACTAGAATCACTGCTACTCTTATAGCTATGGCTACTACACAGTGCCGAGAACTGACTCATTGGCAAAGAGCCTGATGCTGGGAGGGACTGTGGGCAGGCGGAGAAGGGGACAACAGAGGATGAGACGGCTGCATGGCATCACCGACTCGATGGGCATGAGTTTGAGTGGACTCCGGGAGTTGGTGATGGACAGGGAGGCCTGGCGTGCGGCGGTTCATGGGGTCGCAAAGAGTCGGACATGACCGAGCGACTGAACCGAGCTGATCTTCAGAGTTGGTAGTGTTACAACAATTATAACAAGTACTATAACAAGCACAACAGCACAACTGCAATTAATACCCCAACTATTATGTTCACTACTACAACTATAATAGTTATTGCTATGACTATGATGACTACGACCCCTGCACAATCACAAGAACTGTTACTGTGACAAAAACTTCTGCTACTATCACAACCACTGCTATAGTTATTACTACGGCTACAACAATTGTCACAACTGGTACTTCCAAAGCCACTACTGCAACTATTGCGCTTACGAGGAGTACAATTATAACAGTTACTAAAACTACTAAGATTAAGAACACTACTATAACTATTACTGGTGCTACAAGTGCAGCTGGTATAAATGGTAGTATTGTAATGACCCCTATAGCTTTCAGATTTAACTACTATGACAGTTTGGGCTTCCTGGTGGCTCAGGGCGAAAGGATCTACCTGCCAACGAAGGAGATGCAGGAAAGAGTTGGTTCAGTCCCTGGGTCAGGAAGATCCCCTGGAGGAGGGCGTGGCAACCCACTCCAATATTCTTGCCTAGAAAACTCCACGCACACAGGAGCCTGGCAGGCTACACTCCAAGGGGTCGCAAAGAGCCGGACACGACTGAATCGACTTAGCACGCACTGCAATAGTTGCAAAAGGGACCTTTTATGGATCCAGACTCACCTCCACAGCTGGCATGGGCGACTAGGGGTTTATAGCCAATGAGCAGGTGGGGGTCAGTGGATGGAAAAAAATCACCGGTTGGGGGACTTGTGCCTAAACTGACCTCACAGGATTCCTGCCGAGGGCTTGGGCAGGCTGACGAGACACCGTTTGGGGTTGGTGGGGAACAAGGAACCCGACCAGGTGTTGAGACAAACAGACACAGAGTCAGCCAGACAGGGTCTGGAGGAGCACGCATACGCTTCCACATTTATGAACTGGGTGACCTGCAGGACACTGAGTCAGGCATCCCGCTTCAATTTTCTCATTTACAATTAACGGCCAGGGATTCCCCGGGTGCTCCAGTGGTGAAGACCCTGCTGGCCAATGCAGGGGACACATGTCCCATCCCTGGTCCGGGAAGACCCCACACGCCGCTGGGCAGCTAGGCCCGTGTGCGCCAACGACGGAGGCAGAGCAGTAAAGACTCGGCACGGCCAGAAATAAATAAAAAGGATTTCTCAGGACGTTCTTGAGAGAGGAAATCCTGAGTTCTCATCACAAGGACAAAAATATATATATATATAAAGGAATCAAGTCATCCACAAAGTAGCTCATGGGACGCACACACTCTTTAGTCACACGGACAGTCACACTCACCAGGAACCGATTCACCGATTCTAGAGGTGGCGTGCGAGTTTAGTCTCTGCCGAATTGGATCACCCTGCTTCCATTTTTGGTGGATTCGTAAAGTCAAGAGACTCTCCAGAGTTTCTGAAATTATGAAAAGGATAAAAACATTTCAGCAGATTCATGGAGGGCTGCATCTCTTTCCCAAACAACTGTAATTTTATTTTACTTTTTTATTTTTGTAGCGCAGGCCAGTTAAGGGGATTTTAGCAAATGCTGTAATTATTATTATTTTACTTATTTACTTGGCTGACCTACATCTTAGTTGCAGCACGTGGAAGCTAATCCCCTGACCGGGGATAAAACCTGGGCCCCCTCTATTGGGAGTGTGCAGTTTTAGCCACTTGACCAACAAGCAACTAAGTCCCCGCATACTTTAATCCTTAAGATGGATTTGAATTCCAAATTTTCATGTGAGAAGACCTGTCCCCCTTTCTGTTGTTTGAACTCATCAAGTCACGGGCGACTCTCCGGACTGCAGCCTGCCAGGCTCCTCTGTCCATGGGATTCTCCAGGCAAGAAGACTGCAGTGGGTTGCCATTTCTTTCTCCAGGGCACATTCCTGACCCAGGGATCGATCCCCCATCTTCTGCTTAGCAGGAACACTCTTTACGACTGAGCAACCTGGGAAGTCCCACCCTACTTTTATTTATTATTATTTTTAAAATTTTTTTAACTTTTATTTTTTTCCCACCGTACTTTTAAATGCCACTAATTTACAGAGGAAAGTAGCAAACACATAATGATCAACTTTTTTTGATTTTGTCCCTCAGAGAAAAATATGCAGATTATTTTGTCATCATTAGAAAATCCTATTAAAAATATTTTATCCCTGTTCCAGAGCTTGAAGGGTCTGAAGACAAGGATGACTTGGCTGTGACCTGATTATTGCAAAACTTTAGTAAAGCATAATCTGTTTCTGCTTCCTGTTTTTTGATATTTTTTGAAGTGCGGATTAAGAACCAAACCCTCTTTACTCTTTCTAACTGCTCTGTAGGCAAAAAATATGCATAATGCAAAGAATGTTTGATTTAGGGCATAAACCTATCTGGCTGGATATTCATTAGTTCACTTAGAAACTGGTTTCCTCTCCACACCCCAAGTCTGCAGCACACCCCAAACTGCAATACGTTGTTGTTCAGTTGCTCAGTCGTGTCCGACTCTTTGCGACCCCATGAACCGCAGCACCCCAGGCCTCCCTGTCCATCACCAACTCCCAGAGTTTGCTCAAGCTCATGTCCATTGAGTCGGTGATGCCATCCAACCATCTCATCCTCTGTTGCCCCCTTCTCCTCCTGCCTTCAATCTCTCCCAGCATCAGGGTCTTTTCCAATGAGTCAGCTCTTTGCATCAGGTGGCCAGACTATTGGAGTTTCAGCTTCAGGATCAGTCCTTCCAATGAATATTCAGGACTGATCTCCTTTAGGATGGACTGGTTGGATCTCCTTGCCGTCCAGGGGACTCTCAAGAGTCATCTCCAGCACCACAGTTTGAAAGCATCAATTCTTTGGTGCTCAGTCTTCTTGATGGTCCAACTGTCACATCTGTACATGACTACTGGGAAAACCGTAGCTTTGATTATATGGACCTGTGTCAGCAAAGTGAAGTCTCTGCTTTTTAACACACTGTCTAGGTTTGTCTTAGCTTTCCTTCCAAGGAGCAAGCATCTTAATTTCACGGCTGCAGTCAACGTCCACAGTGATACTGAGTACAATATTGTTAATTGTATTAACTGTACTGAAAATTATTTTAACACTACTTTGGGAGTAAAAGATAATTCTACAGTCCCTTCACTGTGGAATTTTTAATAATGATTTTTTTTCCCCCTCATCAATGCTTGGCAGTCCAATATCATTGTGTCCTTTCTTGTAACTGAAATGAAATGAAGTCAAACCCATATTGGTTCTTCTGTTACTCTTATCTTTCCATGAGCACTTGTAGAGTTTTTTTTTTTTTTAAATCTTTTGGACAATGCTACCAGAACACGTGCAGAATTGGTTTTCTTTCAAATCTGCACAGAGAAGTCAGTATGTAGTCATTTTTCTATTTCTTGGCTTCCAACATTCACCTTTCATCATTCCTACAGCTGGTGTTTCTGGGCTATATAGGCCATATTCCTTTGTAGGAAATCCTGTTTCCAGTTTGGCTTTGGTGAATGTTCTCAATGTCTCTAAATTGATGTTTTATCCCCTTAAGCATTTGAAACTTTCCTCTGCATGCTGGAAACATTTCTTTCCGTCCTCACTTTTCTCCTTCACCAAAAATTGATTTCTCACTGTGCAAAGTGCCTGCATTCATACTTTAAACTCCAAGGCTATGTTTATCTATTTCATGCACACTACTGCATCTCTGTTTATTTCTCAGGATCAAATACCCCAATTTTCTCTGAATCTCAAAAATTTTTAGATCATATTTTTGTTATGAATATCTTTTCTTTCCATAGTTGGAATATACTCAGCTTACAGTGTTGTGTTGGTTTTGGATGTATAGCAAAGAGATTCCATTACACATATATTTTTCAGATTCTTTTCCCTTATACATTATTACAAGGCACTCGACATAGGTTCTTGTTCTATACAGAAGGACCTTGTTAGTTGCTCAGTCCTGTCTGATCTTTGTGACCCCATGGACAGTAGCCATCCCGGCTCCTCTGTCTATGGGATTCTCCAGGCAAGAATACTGCAGTGGGTTGCCATTCCCTTCTCCAGGGGATCTTCCCCACCCAGGGATCAAAACTGGGTCTCCTGCATTGCAGGCAGATGCTTTCCCATCTGAGACACCAGGGAAGCCCATATATATATCTGTGTGTGTTATCTATTTTACATATAGCAGTGTGTATACGTCAATCCCAAACTCCTAATTTACCCCTTCCTCCTTTTTTCCTTCTTTTTCAATTACTCTGGTTTGTGTTTTATTTGGCTCTGGGTCAGGAAGATCCCCGGGAGAACGGAATGGCACCCCACTCCAGTATCCTTGCCTGGAAAATCCCACGGACAGAGGAGCCTGATGGGGCTGCTGTCCATGGGGTCACAAAGAGTCAGACATAACTGAGTGACTAATACACTTTTTTTGCTTTCATACTTAGCAATATGTGTAGTGAAATACCTTCTGTAATTTTGGCATCGGAGTGACACCCAGACCATTTATTTAAGGGCGTGCATGATGTTGACTTCTCCCTCTTTGAGACCCTTATTAGAGATTTCAGTTGGAGACTGAATGTGTAGGAAGGAGCCACAGTCTTGATGAAAATGTGCTCTATGAAGTCAGCCTTGGGGGGTGGACTGCTACTCAGGGAGAGAAGAAGACGGAAGGCCTCCTGGTTGGGGGTGGGGGAGGGCGAGATTCTGCTTTTAGAGATGGGGAGGCAGGTGAGGCCGGTCACCCCCTCCCCCATCCGTCTAACAAGCTGCTCCTTTTAGAGGCAGGTCCTGGGAGGCGTGGAGAGACTCCTGGTGGGGACAATTCCTGTTCCAAGGGAACCTCTCTTGCAATAGGAGGAAGAAGCAGTGAGTAACAATAACAAGGGCCTTCCCTGGCAGCTCCGCACTAAAGAATTCCCCTGCCGGTGTAGGAGACCCGGGTTTGATCCCCGGGTGGGGAAGATCCCCTGGAGAAGGGAATGGCAACCCACTGCAGCGTTCTTGCCTGAAGAACCCCACGGACAGAGGAGCCTGGCGGGCTACAGTCCACGGGGTCGCAAAGAGTCAGACACGACTCGGCAACTAAACAACAACAACTAAAAGAAATTAAGGCCTAAAGCATGTGATATGTGTCTTAAGGAATTAAGCAGACGGTGGGAGAGGTCCCTGTGAATGGAAAGGTCTGGGCAGATCTAAGGGGGTGATGCTCATCTTCAAAAATAATTTTTTTTTATTGGAGGGTAATTGCTTTACAATCTGTCGGTTTCTGCTGTACAATGAAGTGAATCAGCCATATGTACACGTCTGTCCCCTCCCGCTTGAGTCTCCCTCCCTCCCCCATCCACTCCTCTAGGTCATCACAGAGCCCCGAGCTGAAGCCCTTGTGCTATAGGGCAGCTTCCCACTAGCTGTCTGTTTTACCCACGGTGGTGTATAGATGGGGAAACAGTGGAAACAGTGGCTGACTTTATTTGGGGGGCTCCAAAATCACTGCAGATGCTGACTGCAGCCATGAAATTAAAAGACACTTACTCCTTGGAAGGCAAGGTATGAACAACCTAGACAGCATATTAAAAAGCAGAGACGTTACTTTGCCAACAAAGGTGCGTCTGGTCAAGGCTATGGTTTTTTCAGTGGTCATGTATGGATGTGAGAGTTGGACCATAAAGAAAGCTGAGTTCCGAAAAATTGATGCTTTTGATTGTGGTGCTGGAGAAGACTCTTGAGAGTCCCTTGGACAGTAAGGAGATCAAACCAGTCCAACCTAAAGGAGATCAGTCCTGAATATTCACTGGAAGGACTGAAGCTGAAGCTCCAATCCTTTGGCCACCTGATGCGAAGAGCTGACTCATTGGAAAAGACCCTGATGCTGGGAAAGATTGAAGGCGGGAGGAGAAGGGGACGACAGAGGGTGAGATGTCTGGATGGCATCACTGGGTTGATGGACATGAATTTGACCAAACTCTGGGAGGTGGTGATGGATAGGGAAGCCTGGCATGCTGCAGTCCGTGCGGTCGCAAAGAGTCAGACATAACCTAGCAACTGGCCAGCAACCAAAGGTAGGATGTCCAGGACACTTAAGGCTGCGGTCCACGTGCATGATGGTGACTGGGTCTCAGCTGGTAGCTGCCATGGTGCTGACAACTGGACAAACTGTTATCATATGTGACGGACAAAACTGGCAAGGCTCAGAAACGTATTGAATCTGGTGGACAAGGAAGAATCAAGCTTCCGTTTTGTTTTCAGCAGCTAAACGATGTTGTTTACAAGGATAGGAAAGGCTGCCTTGTATGGACTGAACTGTGTCCCTCACCTAAAATTCGTACATTGAAGCCCTTGACCCTCAGTGCGACGGTGTTAGACACAGGGCGGTGATGAGATGTAGGTGAACTCTTGAGGGTGGGGCCCCCGTCTTCGCCTTGGAGAAGGACACGGCAAACCCAC